AACTTCTTTGAGAAATGATATCTAGTTTTATTACCATCTTTACATTTTCCCTTTCGATTCTTCTACAAATTCTCTGATTTTCCATGACTTTTCTAGAAGATCGAAATTCTCTGATTTTTTCGATTTTCCATGTTTTTCAGAAAGTGGACACGCTGCTACCATTGAATTGAATTTGCCTTATTTTACGTGGCGAGACTCGGGCCATCAGGTCCGCTCTTCCGTCTGACCACGCAAAATTCATCAACTAGCAGAGAAAGGGGGTATTTCTTGGGCGAGAAACAGGCGGTTTGAATTTAGCTCAGAGGCGTCATTTAGGCATGAGGATCTTTCACATGCAAGTAAATCTACTTCCCCTCCGAAGGAAGGCGTACGAAGGATTTTTTCGCCCTTAAAAATCGGTTTTGATCGGGGACTATTTCCTTACACGCGTCCCCAAATAGCTGCCACGAGGTTCGCTGGCTAGTATGTTGCACTCTGCTTGTGCCTCTATTTCGGCTGCCACGACGCTGACACACTCATCTGCTAGATAATCTCTTCCAGAAATCCTGCTGCTTCTTCTTTTACATATTGTGCCGCTCACAGAAAACATGGCAGAATTTTATAAACATTTTGATACAAAATACCTACAAATTTTAACATATTTAATTAATCTCTTTTTCAATATTAACTACATATGATAACACTAGTTTTATTTCACAAGTTAGAGGAGTTTAAATTATATATCCGTAGGCAATCATTAAGAACAATAGATTAACGTCCCTTTCTTTTCTATGATTCACTAGTCACGAGAGAAATCCGTTCTCGTTTCCACATCAGGACTCTTCCGAAATAATAGAGTTGTCGACAGTTGGTTGTATATATACAAGGCTATCAATGAGGAATGCTAAATGATTGAACACTAAATTAAGTTCTTTATGCTACGCTTTCAGAATTCTTTCAAATTCAGTCAGTCTCGACACTACTCGTTGTGTATATTTGGGGGTGGCATAATATTCTGGGGAGGTACATCTTGTAGCTCCGAGAGTTTTAGATTACAAAAAAAAATTGTACGAATAATAAGCAAATCCCACCCACGTGATTTATGTAATTCATTCTTTATTAATATAGGTATTTTACCTTTACCGTGTCTCTTAATATATGAACCGATGGTTTTTGTCAAAAATTACTTACTTAAGGGCGGGAATATATTTTTAGCAAACGCCGTTGTCTATAACTATAACACTCGGCGTAGTAATTATATTCATCAGGTGACATTATCAACAGCTCACTACAAAAATTCACATATAATACATGTATATTATTTGATGGCACCTTGCCAGATGACATTAAACGATTAAATTCGAAACAAAAGTTTCAGTCTGAAGTAAAATTCTTTCTGCTGCACAACTGTTTCTATACAAAAGGAAAGTAATATCAATTTAAACAATGAAATTTAATGTATTAAATATCGTTTGGATTGTATAATTGTACAAAACCGGTAACAAGTATTGTACTTCAGCTTCTGGGTCAATAGCCCCCATCTCGTTCCGTTTCCCTGATCCTCGAGCAAATGCTGAGATGGCCCCTTGTTTTGCTCATGGACATAAATGTCTTCACTATTGCTGAACTCTCCTTTTGCTTGTAATGGTGAGAGTAGAGGTAAGGGAGAGTTGCTATTTTGGTAGCAATGCAGAAAAATCGTACTTACAATTCATGTACCGAAGGAAATAAGTTTTATATAACTCAGAAAGGAAAATGACTATTTTTCAAATATTGCTAATCTTACTATTTTTGAAATGTATTTATTTATTTATGTTAAACGTATCTTTCAACTATTTATAGTTAAAATTAAGAGACAGGATTCTGGAACTCTTCGTAGAAAACGCGCGCAGATAATATTTTCCCGCCTACATCTCGTACATTTTTTCTGTTTTTTTGACTGAATAAATCTAAATCTAAAATCTAAATCTAATACTGAACACATTATCAATACATGAGCGCCCCGCGCGAATGCCGCTTTGTTCGTCGATATCAATGAGATCTCTTTCCACTCAGGTTTTTAATATTTTCCCATACACTCGGCTACTAAGGACATATATGCCTCTATAATTTGCACGTTTTCTATCATCTTTCTTGCAGATGTTAGAGATATATCATTTCCCTGCCTTGGGTAATTCTTCCCCCTTTAAACATCTATTGTACAGTGGGGTAAGAAGATGCATTAATAAACTGGGGCCACGTTTCAGCAATTCAATGTTTATTAATCCCGGACCGGCTGCTTTTCCATTTTTAATTCACTGTATTGTCTTTTCAGTCTCACTGTAATATATCCCGTATCATCCGGTACTTCGAGCTCTCTGTTGTACGAGTTACTAAATTCAACCCTATTTTCTTTCAATCGCTCTTCGTAATATATTTTAAATTGATCTATACTAATATGTTTCAGTACTGAATTTTGCTTTTCGTTTTGTCTAAAGTTCTTTATTATTTTCCATGCATACTTTGATCTGGCATTGCCTACAGTATGTTCTACATCTCCACACATTCTTTTCCAAGCTTCATGTTTTTCTTTTCTAACTTCTTGTTTAACTTCTCTACTAATTTGACGATACCGTTCTCTGTCTTCATTATCTTGAGGGCTTAACCATGCATTATAATAAATTTTCTGGTTTAGCACTTTCCCTGCCAAAGTAGTATTCCACCATGAGTCACCTATTTGCTTTTTCCCGATCATCTATTAGTAACGTTGCAAGCTTAGGTAAGCCGTCTACGGAAAGCAGAGAAGAGCCCATCGGGAAGGCTCTCGTGGAGCAGTTTCGCAGAGAGGTCGAAGCACAGCCTGTCTGCCGCGGTGTTTGGCGCGGGTCTCTCGGTGGCTACGTCACAACACCGCAGCACGTCCTCGCTAAGTTTCAGCAACAAAGACACGCATTTCGTGGTGTCAATTCTGGCGAGTGTTTTCATTATAGGATTAGGTGAAACAACATAATAAATTCAAAAACAGCTCTGATTCCTAAGAGCAGAGTTTAACAACTCATTGCGTAGAGCCCCGAACGCATTTCATGGTAGTGTCATTATCCAAGGGTCGTAGGTGAGAATGTAATGGATAGAGCGACATATTATATCCCCGTACCTTGTTTAGACTGTTCATGTTCCTCTCTGATATGTGCGCGAAAATGCTTAACCGATTTGTGACGAGTCTATTGATCATTAAATTTCATGCTCATGCAGCAAAACATACATTTGAGGGAGAACTGTACAAGTTGCAAGTAAATTTCTGCAAGATCGTACAATTGGTAAGTGGTATAACCGCTCCATATTTTTGAAGCTTGTAGATCGTAAGTATGCCTGCCGCCGTGTCTAGAAGTTTGGATATGCAGATGACCGGACATTGACAAGTCATATTACTCTTGACGACACCGAGAATATACTCAGGTGATTTCAACTTCTTGGGCATGTCCGAAGAGACAACTTTCGACCGAATTCAACAAAAATCGAAATTAAGTGTTTTCACATCAGCAATTCCTTAAATCGAAACGCATTTAGAATAGTATTCAATGAATACAATAATGTTAAAATTATGTGAAATAT